CACCTGCCCGACAATGCCGGGCGAGGGCGGTGGAGGCCGGGACACGCCCCCACCCCTGGCGCAGTTTCACACCCCCCTACGCACATGTCCTCGCAGGTGAGCATGCCTTTTGGCTCACGTCCGGCGCCGGGAGGCCCCGCGTGTTGTCCCCCCCGCCCCCGACCCGACACCGCGAACACGCCAACCGCTTTTCACTCAACACTGCCAACCGGCGCTTGAGGCACACCCCCCTCGCGGCTGGCCACGAGCCCGGCAACCATTGCCTGCTGTGACCTGCGCGTCTCCCATGCCCCCCCCCCCCCCCCGTTCCCAGGAGAGAAGGGGGGGCCGGCGCTCGGTCGTGGGGAACCCCCACGTTCAATCGGAGTCCCAAAAGAAGGCCCCAGAGGGCGGGCGAGCTGCGCCCGGCAGTGCGCCGGCGTGGGCGCCCTTTCCGTCCCAAACCGGCCGAGGTACGCTCGCCCTTTCATATGGGGCGTGTGTCCCTCCCCCCCCCCCCCCTCGAGCTTTGGGGGTGATACTGTGGGGCCCGCGGCACCGATCGCCCCCCCCCCCCCCCCCCGGGGAGGGGAACGAGGGGGGCGGGGCCGGGACTGGGGAAGCGACACTCGGTTGCCACTCAGGCCGGGGCCGGGGCCGGGGCCGGGGGCAAGTCCTCTCCACGTACCCCCACCCCCCGGCTGGCATGGGCTGCGCTTGAACGTCCACGCCCGCGTAGAGGCGCGCGTGAGAGAAAGGATTATTGTTCCGCCCGCCGCCCCCCCCCCCCTGTCGACCGGCTTCCATCGTTTCTTGGCACATCCCCCCCTCTCGGGCTGGGCCCCGGCATGCCCTCTCCCCGGCCCGCGGCCTGTGAAGGGGCCTTTTTCAGCATCCTATCTTCGGACCCGGACCGGGCGGCCGGGGGCAGTCCGCCGTTTGTCACCGTCGCCCTCCTTGTCTTCCCGCCTTTCCCTCCCTCCTCCCTCCCCCTCCTCCCCTGCCAAGAGCCTCGCTCCTCCCGCCGCGCCCCTCCTGTCACTCCTCCCTCCCACCTCTTTGTGATGGACGCCGATTCCCATACGCCACTTAACCAGGGCACCGGGTCGTCGTCGACCCCCACAGCTGACGCGGCTTCGGCCGGCGCCACTGCGGTCGATCCCTCGGCCAGCTTCGTGTCCAAGGCCGTCAACACCCTCTCCACCCTGTATGAGACCGGCAAGTCTTCCTCGTCCCTGATGAAGGTACACCGTCCTCTCCCCCGCCCCCGCCCCCGCCCCCCCTCCCCCTCGGTGGGCGCCGTCTGCTTGCCCATCTCCCCCGGTTTGCTGCCATCTCAACATGCTAACTCGGCCTTGGCGCCGGTGTCCCCCCCCCCCCCCTTCCCCCGCCCTCCCCCTCCTCCTCGGCCATCTTGCTTCCATGGCAGATTGGCGAATCCCTCTACAAACCCCTCCAGTCGCTGGTCGAGGCGGCCGCCGCCGCATCCATCGAGGGCGCGGACTTCCCGGCCGCCAACAGCTCCGGCACCCGGACGCCCACTCAATCGACCGATGCGCCCGGCGGGTCGGGCGCCCAGTCGCAGCAAAATGCCGACACCTCGGCCGGCGAAACCGAGGCCATGTCCCTGCACAATGCGGCCTTCCAACACTGGGAGCGCATGCGCCAGAAGGGCTTCGATGTGATTGCCATCTTCCGGGAGGCTCTCAATTACATGCAAATCGCCCAGAACCACGTCCACCAGAACTCCACTTGGCTGCTGGAGCAGCTGGAAGTGGCGCGCACGATTGTCACCAATTACGCGTCGCAGTTCCACGCCAGCCTCCAGTTCCACGAGCGCCAGCTCCTGTCACCGGAGGAGCGCCAGCAGCAACTCCTTCAGGCCCGGCAATATCTTCAAGTCCAGATCTCCACCATCTACTCGACTCTCTTTGCTCGGATCCAGTCCATCCGCTCGGACATTGCCGGGTGCGTGCATCTTCCTGCCGCCCTTTTCTCCTCCCCCCTCGCGGTGGCGTGTGTGGTCTTTGCTTTGCCTTATTGACACGCCGTTTGCATCTCAAAAAAAATATGCCCCCTCCCCCGCTTTCTCCCGCCCTTCCGCTCGGTGTGTAGAACCCTCCGCACGGTGGTCGAGCTCGTGTCCAAGTCCGCCAGCGCCCTGCCGATTGTTTCGCAAAACGCTGTCCGCCAGATGATCATGTCGATTCCCGGAAAATGGGTACGCCCCTCGGCTCGGCTCTCCTCTTCGCCCCGCTCCCGCTCCCGCTCCCGCTCCCGTTCCCGTTCCCGCTCCCGTTCCCGCTCCCGCTCCCGCTCCCGCTTCCCCTCCTGTCACCTCGCCTCCCCCACGCCCGCCGCCCCTCCCATCCAGCGCCCTAACCTCCCGCCCTCCCCCGCTTCCCCCGCATCAAGGCCGCCCTCTCTTCGGCTTTCTCGCTCGAGGGTCCGGCCCAGACGCAGGAGTATGTCATCCGCGTGGGCACCATCGTGGCGCACATTGCCCAGGAGATTTCCCGTGCGCTGGCATCCATCGCCCAGGTGTTCGAGCAGAACATCACCCGGGCGTCGGGCTTCCTGACCAACATCAACCGCTGGGTGCCGGGCGGGCACCCGGGGCCGGTCTTGCTGACGACCGGCGCTGGGTCCGCCGATGCCGGGCCCACTTGCGACTCGAGCGGGTCTGCCCACCATGGGCATGGCGGGCACCAGTCGCAGGCGCATTCCGCATGCTCCGGCTCGGCGACCGGCGGCGGCGGCGAGGCCGCCGGCGGATCGCCGACCGACGAGGACCTCGGTCCCGCGGTGGAGGCCGCCCTGGGTCTGGCCTCGCCCACTGGCACCACCGACATTGATGCATCCACGGCGGCCGTGCTGCAGAGTCTGCTGAACTCGGCGGCGGCCGCGGCCGCGGTCGCCTCCTCGCAGCAGAAGGGCGCCGGGCCGGCCGGTTCGGCTGTCGCATCCACCGGCAATGGTCCGCTGATGACCCCGGTGTCGGTGTCGGTGTCGGTGTCGACCTCCCCCTCCTCGGCCGGCCAGTCGCCGGACACCGCCGTCATGGTCGGCGGTGGTGGTCCCGCCTCGGTGCCGAGCACCCCGCCCCGGTCGCACCGGCTGAAGGGCGTGCGCGCCCTGCTCAATGACGAGGCCGAGGGGAACTCCCCCTCGATGGCGGCCCCGGAGGCTGCCACCATGGATGTCGACGCCTCGGAGTCGGCTGCCGGCTCGCCCCTCGAGGCGGAGGCCGCCCCGGCCGCTGGTGGCGCTGCCTCCTTCGGCGTCACCGATTCCAGCTCCGACTCCGAGATGGCCGACATGTCCGGGTGACACCTGTGCCGTCCGCCGTCCGCCGTCCGCCGCCGCCGCCGCCGCCGCGCGCGCACTCGTTCGTTCGCTCGCATGCGCGCATACATATCTACCTTCCCCCCTCCCTTCCCTCATCTCTGTCACCCTCCTTTCAAAAGGAGGCCAGCGTGCACTTCCCGTGCCTCAGAGCGATCCCTCCCTCCTCTTGCGCGCACGCCATCCGCGTCTGAGCTTGTCTGTCCTTGTTTCTCCCCAGCCTCCCGCCCTCTGGTGCACGGCCCTCCCCCCCCCTTGAGGAGGTAATATACCCGAAAATAGTGTCCCGTTCCCTCCCCCCCCCCCCCTCCCCTGTGTCTGTTCTCCAGCCGGTTCTGTCGTCGGTGAGCTTCTGCCGGGTTGCCTGCGGATCTCCGCGCCGAGGTTGGCCCTCCCCCCCCCCCCTCCACCTCGCTCTCGCCACCGAAGCGCTTCCCCCGAACAAGGCTCGACTTGGAGGGAGGTTGGGCCAGGATCGGCATATCCATTGGTACTTGCGGCGGCACTTCCTCGCGCGGCTTCAACGCGTGGACCATCCTCGATTAATGACGCCGTGGGGACCCGGGCCCCAAGGAGCGGATCCCCGGCGGCGGGGGCCGGGGCAGCTGCCGGCGCCCGTGCCAGAACCTCTCCTCTTCTGCCCCTCCCCCCCCCCCCTCGAGATCCGATAAATGTCTCTTGCCACCACCAGGGGGCGCGGGGGCCATGGAAGGGGGCGGTGGCCCAGATGGCAGGTGAGTGCTGGGCTCTTTTTTTCTGGGGCCGCGCGGGGGCAGATCGCGCCCGAAGTCAGAGATTGCTCCGGCCCCTAGCCTGCCCTCGCCTCCCCCCCCGCCACCCTCCTGGCCCGCTTCTTCTCTGTCGTCTCGCTTGTCTTCCTCGCCCGTCTCTCCGCCCCTCCGTTCCTCTGCTCCGCCTCACAGTTACCTCCTTGCTCGCGCGTGTGCGCGCTTCCGGCTCGGTGACTGGTCCTCCCTTTCCATTCAGGCCACGGGGATCTCCCGCTCCCCCCCCCCCCCCCCCCCCCCCCCCCCCCCCCCCCCCCCCCCCCCCCCCCCCCCCCCCCCCCCCCCCCCCCCCCCCCCC